TACAAAGGGTTAGTTCGTTAGGACCGACCGCAATATTTTCGTTTTCGCGGCGCTAGGCTTTTCTCGCTGCGAGAACCCGAGGCCCACTAATGATCGGGTGCACACTTGAGGTTCCCGCACTGCAAAAAGTGCTGCAAAAAGCACAAATGTCGCGTTCAGTCCTAGCGACCCACACCCGGAGCCATGTAATGTACAAACTGCTCTTTCCCAATTTTACTCAGAGAATATGTCAAACTGCTGGCAGCCTAATTCCTGCGCCATTTTCTTCGGGTTTTTCGTATGTTGCACACGTTCTTGTGCTGGATAATGATCGTTAAGAAACAGCCGATTGCTGGGTAAATCGCGTGAGTCTGCCACATTCAATGTAGAAGGAACCCGCGGAAGGTAATTCTGCTCATCCAACCTGGAGCTAGTCCTTGTCGTAAGTCTAGACTAAGGAGGAGGCACTCAGGAGTGGGCTAGAAAAATCCTCTCCGAAGTTTCTTTCACGCAAAAAAAGAGATCCATTCGTCTAACATAGCGCCTGATACAGCGAGTAGCTAGGACTGGGACTATGAGAAGAGAAGGACGCCGGGGAACTACAAGTGCTCGCGTCCCGAAGACTCTCCTTAACCCTTCCTAGGCGCAGCCCTGAACATCCACAGTGAAAAATGCATGCCCTAGTTTGAAGCTCGTTGAGCCCTTCACCGCAAAACCCTCCCTTAATAAAGTAGACTCTAATTCTTTCTGCTTTAACCTTTCTCTAATGTAAGGTTACTACACCAGACTTTTATCAATATTAAGAACTTTGCTCTATGAAGAAAAATCCACCTATGTGACATTTTCAAAAAGGAACGGTAACTCTAGAAAAATATGGCTTTAACAGAAGCCTTCTTTATCGGGGCCAGTCAACTTCACCTACAGAAATGGCCATAAGACCTAAGACCACTGACCTGTGAAATAGTTTTGGTACCAACCTGACGCAAACTAGCTGGTTTCACAACACTTTCACGATAGCGCTCAATATCTGCTCGCCGTTTCAGCTCATTTGAAAGACGTGTGCGTCGATTGTGATCAACGCTCATCTGAAGAAGAACAGTACGAATGCAGGAATCACCTATGCAAATTTAAAGAATGCACTAAATGTTGAAAAAATCACCTTGGCCGACTGCTGACTGATGTGAAAGAACTGCTCGGGTTGCTCGAGTATTTGATGCAGGGAAGGTCTAATAGAGAGATCAATCGATGGAAAACGATTTACTATCGATGAGTCGTTCGACGGCGCCATCGTTATTTCGTTTGATTGAAAATGTGGTGAGAGGGACCTTGAGTGAGCTACATGTGCACGAAATGAATACCGTCTCGCCTGAAAAACTATCAGTTTCGTCCATATCAAGCATCCTGGAGGAACGGAGTACTATTTGAAGCACATTGACGCTTGAAGGGGATTTGAGCGATATCCTAGATGCAGCTCCCACAAATCGATCACCTGGGCAAAGAAATTATCTGCGAGTGACTTGGTGACGCAGTGGCCGATGTCAGACTTTGCGATTGGAGCGATTTTGCACCAA